ACCAGGACGTAGTGGTTGTTGTTTAATGCTTTCAAGTCAGTTCTGACTCATAGCGACCATGTATACACAGTGTTTCCAAAGAACAGGTGGTGGGTTTCAAGGACTGACTTTGTGGTTCGAAGTCCAGGGCTCCGGATACATGATAAACACATATAAACAGATTCTTCTCCATTCACCAGCAATAACTGGTATAAATAAAGACAATTTCATTTTAATCAACAACAAAAGTAAGTAGCCAGAAATGAAATCGCAAAAAACATAAAAGATGCATATTAAAAAAAAAAAAAAAACCTTGAATAAAGGGAGAAACATTAACAAGGCCTTAGTATTACAAAGGTGTTTAACTTCCAAAGAAAGAACTAAATTTCATACAATTCCAGTCATTAAGTCAGAGATTACCAACTTCATAAGTTGATTTTAAAAGTTCATTTAGAAAGCTAAGTCTGCAGCCTGTAACCACCCTTCAGGTCTGGAAATGAACTCCTGCCCATGGCTCAACTTTCAGCCCAAGAACAGACTGATCCACAAGGGAAATAATAACACCAGAGAGGCATGCACACCTTTGAATCATCAATCATTAGAGAAGGCAAGGGTGGCATTTCCCCAAGGACAAAGTTCTAAAGGATTAGGACAGAAGGAAGAAGGAAACTGGAAACAGAGAGGAAGTGGGATAAGTTATACCACATTGCGGGGTTCGAAATCAATGAAATGCAACAAAATGAGTATGAATTATTGAATGGGAAACTGTAAACCTTCACCTAATTCTCAATAAAAAGCTTAAAAGAAAAACACGTATACAAGCGTCATAGGTTGACTTGTGACCACCCACTCTACCCCACCCCCACAATCTAGCTAGGCCATGATTCTAGATATTCTGCACTCATTCTCCATTTTGTGCTGGGATAGCGATACTATTATAAATCCTCATCCTCTGTGGCGAGGCAGGATTAGAAGCAGCTATGTAAGGAGCTCTGGTAGTGTAGTGGTTACGAATCGGGCTGTGAACCGCAAGGTCAGCGGTTCGAAACTACCAGTTGTTCCATGGGAGAAAGATGAGGCTTTCTGCTCCCGTAAAGATTTACAGCCTCGGAAACCCTGTACAGGGTCGCTATGAGTTGGAACCGACTCCACGGCACATGACAACAATAACAACATGTAAGGAGGCAGTCTACAGGATTAGGCTACCTCTGGAATCCATCTCTTTGGAGATATAAAAGGGATTAAACAAGTGAGCAGAGTACAGAGGGCTCTCTAACCAAGACAGAAGAGCTGGGAGCAGAGCACAACTTTTGGACCCAGGGTTCCTGCATTGGGAGCCTCCTAGACCCAAGGGAAGGTTGATGCCAAGATACACGGCAATTTCCAAGGAATCTCAAAGCCCCCAGATGTTGACAGGAGACAAGGACCTGCCCACATGCTGGCAGAGAGAGCCTTACCTGAGAGCCAGCCCTCTGTATTCGGGCTTCTAGCTTCCTGAACTGAGAGAGAATACATGTGCCTGTTACAGCCGTCCACTGGTGTTTATTTCACTTACAGCAGCAACCAGAGAAGAAGGAGAGCTGAGAGAGTTTTGAAAAGCAAAGGACCAACCTTCCCACTGTTGTTAACGGTTGTTGAATTGGTTCCAACTCATAGTGACCCTGTATACTGCTCCTGATTGAGGCTTTTTAGATCTTTGTGTGGGAGCAGAAAGCCTCATCTTGTTCCCGCAGAGCGGTGGCAAGTTTGAACCGCAAACTTGATGGTTCGAAGTCCAGTGCTTATTGTATGAACCCACCATGCTCCCGAACCTTCCTTACAAGATATTAAAATATACTACATGAAACATCTAATGTTAAAATGAGGATCCCTGAGTGGCACAAACAATGACTCTGACTGGCTACTAACCAAACACAGGATTTGAACCAAAAGTTCAAGTCCACCTTAGAGGAACCTTAGAAGGAAGGTCTGGCTGTCCACTTCGAAAACACTAGCCACTGAAAGTTCTACAGAACTCACAGTTCTACCCAGACACGCAGTGTCAACCTGGCATCAGAATCAGCCCAGGGCAGCTGGTTTGGGGTTTTACAGTAAAAAGTCACTATGAGCAACTTTAAGAAACTGTCACTGCCCCAGGTGGAACCATGTGGTCATCAATGAGGATGATAACTGGAAAGAATTGAAACATCAACTGTTAAAAGCACGAGCTTATCACAACACTTTTAAAAGGAAAAAAGAGAATGCGCCTCATTGGTGACCTTTGGAGAATTCGAGGATCGAGCACAGTCTCCTTGGGAAAACTCAGTCCCCACACACGTGTTAGGACATGTGGAGGAACCAAGCCCACAGAGTGCAGGCTACAAAGGCTGGTGTAGGGGTCAGTGTGCAGCGCTATGCCCGGGCCATTATCCACCCGTCCAGAGCCACCCACCCTGCTGGTACGCTCGGTACCCCCCTCACCTAGCCCACACACTTCCCACGCTGACCCACAGGAAACCTAACCACTCTGAACAAGGAGGCCTGGAATCCATAGCCCATGTACAAATACACTTTGTTCACGTGTGCCTACACGGTGGTGCAAGCTGTCAGGACAAAGGTACCAAGCCCGCAGGGTCTGGGGGGTGACAGAGTCTAGGAGCAGCCGCGTGGCACCATGCATTCTGTGCACATGGATTTGGAGGCTGGGGGCTAGCCATTAGTGAGGAGACCCTCTGAACTCCCATCTGACCCGGGTAGGGTGGTATAGTGAAAGAGACACACTGAAAGCCCCTTTAACCCGAGACTAGGAAAATTTATTTCACCTGAGCCGAGACCAATGCCGGGCAAAACTAAACAATGTGGCTGAAGTTCAAGCCAGAACTCCCCTGGGGAAGGGGTGGTGCAGGGCAGGGGTCCCAGGCGGTTTCTTTACCTAGGTGAGGGCTGACAGGTATGAAACCTCAATACCCTAACCCTGGGATTTGTGCCCTTTTCTGCACCCAGGTCACTGCTGTTGTTAAGTGTTGTCAAGTCACTTACAACTCAGAGTGCCCCTGTATACGGGTTTCCGAGGCTGGACACCTTTGCAGGTCAGACGACAATCAGTAAAAGTTCTCTTTAAAAACACAATTAACCCATGAGGATGGCTGGCCTCCCGGGTCTGCACCGGCACCGGGGTTTCGGTTAGATACCCCTGCTCCCCAAACAGCCCGTCACCGCCCCCTCCTCAGAGGAGGAAGCCGAGCATGGCTTACCGGGCTGGCGTCATACGTCTTACGGGCCAGGTCATCCAGGCTCTGGTTCTGTAGCTTCTCAGTGATGAGCGTGACCATGGTCGGGGGCCCCGGGTCCTCCGTCCGCACCGTCGGGCATCGGGGGTCCGGGACATTGGACTTCAGAAAGCCCAGGCCATCGCTGGGTCTGAGCTATGAACACTCACTCCATCGTTGAGACCATCGGAGCCTTGTGTCTGTTTGTGGTAAAGAGAAGTGGTCACACGCCATTCCCCTAGGGTTTGGGGTAGATGCTGAGCACCACACATCACATCTCTCTGACCCCCATAGTCTGAGGGCCCCACACATCAGGAATGACCACCCCCACTGCAGCAGGAGATACAGCGGCAGGATTTTGGAAGCTAGAAAGTGGCTCTGCCGCCAGACCTGAAGCCCTCAGTTAGTCCCAGGATATTACCACGGCCCCTCCAATCAACCACCACGGACCCTATCAACCAACCCTACCACCCAGCTGCAGTTTGTTTAAAGCAGTTACAGCCTTCTCCCCCTCCCCCACTCCACCTTGCTGAGCTACAGCCCCGCCCCCACCCCAACTGAAGCTGCTTTCCTGGGTCCCCAGAGAGGTCTGCCAGCCAGGCCCAGCTAAAGGAGAAAGGCCAGGCAACCATCCCTGTCCAACCCTAAAGAGTGAACAGTGAAGGGTCTCTGCCACCCACTGGCAGAGACTCAGACCCAGAGCGGGAGTCTGTCCAAGGCAAGAGAAAAGGAAAGAAATCCTATGTTGGGTGGGCGCCTGGTCCACCAGCCCAGCAAGCAGGCCCCACTCACGGCCTTCAGTCCACGTTTTTGTGTCCCCTTTGTGAATATGAGGAGGCACTGAGGGTCACCAATTTAGGGGAGCAGCAGTCAGTGCCATCGAGTGGCTCCCCACTCACATCACCCCTGCTGCAGAGGAGAAGCCCTCCACAGCGGCTCCCAGGCTGTCACCTTTACAGGTGGGGTGACGTGGGCCTGGAAGTGTTTCCTTCTAGTGTGCACCGGCTCACTGGGAGTCAGAACCGACTCGATGGCACCTAACAACAATGCACCTGACAGAGGTACACTGCCACATCTTTCCCCTCACAGTGGCTGGTAGATTCACACCACCAACCTTTTGGTTAGAAGTGGAGGGCTTAACCACCATGCCACCTGGACTCCTTAGGAAAGCAATAACCCACCAAATCCACGGCCATCGAGTCGGCTCTGACTCGCAGCGTCTCTACAGAGGGTTTCCGAGTTTCCGAGACTGTGTCTTTACAGGAACAGACAGCCTCGTCTTGCTCCCATGGAGCAGCTGGTACGTTTGAACTGGCGACCTTCAGGTTAGTAGCCCAACACCTAACCTAGAGCACCACAGAGCCACAGAAGAGACCAAAACCATCAGGGGAGAAAACAAAACAAAACAGCATTTTGAAGACTATAGTGTGCCAGAAGGGACCTTCCACAGATTTACCATCTTCCCCTCGAAATGGTCAGATACCACACCCATGACTTCAGACCATAAGACTGTTAAAAAGAAGCATTCTGAGAAGAAGAAAGGGCCCTGGGAGATGAAATCATAATAAAGATCGTCCTCATCAATCCGACTCACAGCACCATGTATGCCAGAGTAAAATCATGCTCTGTAGGGTTTTTGCCATGGCTGAGTTTCCAGAAAGTAGATCACCAGCCCCTTCTTCTAAAGTGCTTCTGAGTGGACTCTAACCTGCAACCTTTCAGTTAGCAGCCAAGCACTTAAGCACGAGCGCCACCCAGAGAGAGATGTCTACAACCACACGAGCAGTGATGGGAAAGTGCTGGGGCTCCAGAATGCGTGTCCTCAACCTCCACATCTCTGGTCCCCTTACCAGGCAGGATAAGCAGTCACAGAGGGCAGCCCCACCTCAACCAATTCAATCCACCTCTGGGACAGCACCGCCTGTGGACATCCGCCCCAAAAGTCCCTGAGTTTGGACTGCGTCTGAGGAACGCTCCCTGGGACCAGGTGGGGCCGACACTAAGAAAGCACAACAGTTGAACAAAACAGGTTTCTGACTAATACAATTCCAACAGTATGACATTCTGGAAAAGGCAAAACCACAGACAGTAAAAAGATCAGTGACTGCCAGGAACACGGAAAGAGGGAGAGAGGGGCGAGCAGGTGGAGCCGAGGGCAGTGAATTCTGCAGGTGTGAAAATGGTACGGTGGAAGTGTCATCTGACCTCCTCTAACCTGACAAGGTGGGGAGCAGAACCATCAGTGGATTCCTACAAGATAGTCAGGCAAGCCCCCATCTCTACCTTCCTTACCACTTACCCCCCACAGCACAATATATACTTCTCTGCTGAGTTCAATAATGTGTTGTAATGGCCACATACAATTCACAGACAATATTGATAATTAAGGGATTTATTACGGAAGTGGAGTCGGTTCTGACCCATAGCGACCCTGTACAGGGTTTCTAAGGCTGTAAATCTTCACAGGAGCAGAAAACCTCATCTTTCTCCCGCGGAACAGCTGGTGGTTTCAAACTGCTGACCTGGCGGTTCGCAGCCCAATTCGTAACCAGAAGTAACAAATTACAATTCAGGTTCCAGTGGGAAGGATCCAGTTCTATCAGGGCAGCCTCCTCTCAGCCATGCCTACATGCTTCCTCGGACAAGTGTTACCAAGCTCTTAGAGCTCTGCCAGTAGGTGCCAAGAGGCACCCCATTCTGCTAGTAAGACGAGCCCAAAGGTGTCCAGGTCTATCGCCATGTGTCCACCAATCTGAGGCACCCCACCCACTCCACCAGCAAGCCTCCTGCCTGAAGGCGCTCAGGTTTCTTGCTCTGTGGTCCAGGAAGCCCACTGGGCTGTCTCACACCAGTCTCCTGGTTCTGCCGCTACTGCTGTTTGCTGTCTCTCATCTCTGGTGTTACAGCTCATTGTCTGTCTTCCTGTCCCCTGGATCGAGGAAGCTCTTGGGGTAGGAATCCACTCCCAGATTGTTTGTCGTGGTGGTAGTGAGGGTTCCTCCCCATCTCCACCTCAGTGATGGCTCATTTTCAGCTGAGGATGGCCAAATTGATCCATCCATCCCCTCATCCACTTCATTTGCATAGTCTCACTTGGTGGGAGTTACAAAGGCCATGGCTGGAAGGGTCACATTAAGCAATCAGTGCAGCACAGTACGGCCCTGTGACGGTGGACACAAGACATGAAGCATCTGAAAAAACCCATGAGGCTGTACAACACAACATGACCCCAATGTAAACTATTGACTTCAGTTAGCAATCACCTTGGTTGGTCAACTATAACAAACGTACCACAGGAATGCAAGAGGTTAGCAACGAGCGCGCTGTAGGGAGTGGGGAGAAGCAGGTTATATGGAACTAGGCGGAGTTCTGGTCAACTTTTCTTGAAGCCCAAAACTGCTCTAAAAATCAAGCTTGTTTATACAAATATGCCAGCTAACTGCACATCAGAGTCCTAGGCTATAGGATCAGCACTGAACTGCTAGCCACAAGGTCAGCAGTTCAAACCCACCAGTCACTCCTTGGAAACACTACACAGGGTTGCTATGAGTTGGAACCAACTCAACGGCACAACAACCACTGTGCAGATGTATACAAAGATGTGTGAGTGTGCATATATACACACTTTTACTACACACTCTTACTTCCTCAATGTTAACATTAAAACACACGGCCCAAAAGCCAGAATCTTACCAAACTGGGAAATAAATGCTGGAGATGTTCCAGTAAACGGGGGAGCAGAACAAACATGCTCCACATCAACACAACAACCCAAAAAAAGAAAATGCTGAAGAGAAATGAGTCTCAATGTGAAGCAGATATACTATAAACTTAAGGAAAAAAACGGAAACTACCAAATAAGAATTCAGCAAGTACATGAACATACACAATCAATACAGAGAACCCTGCGCCTTCAGATACACTCACAGCCAGTCAGAAGAGAAATCAAAAGGGAGGAAGCATTTATAATCACAGCTAGAAATAAACAGCTTCAATACCAAGATGTGTTGAAAACGTACTCAGGTACAGAGAAGTCAACTTAGACATATGGCAAGATATGAGCCATTTTGCAGGGAGACGAAGACATCACCAGGATGAAGTTTCCACAAAGTTGCCTCATACATTTCAACATGGCGGAGAGAAGGGTGTTAAAGCTTGAAGAACGGGATCTTATCACGGAACGGGACCCAGAGGAATTGTTGGATACGTCAGTGTGTGCTGCACCATGTGCTTTTTCAACAAGCGCAAGCAAAAAGAAAACCAAAGTCTTGGCCTGCGGGCTGCATGGGAGAAGCATGGAGCAGGCTGAGGGTGTCAGGAGTAGCTCCCCAAAGAGGTTAGTTCCAGAGCTCAGTCCTGAGGAGGGGATCCCTGGACTGGAGAATGGGGTGAAGGGGACATTAAGCAACAAGAAAGAGTAGACAGAAACAAGCCCTGAGGGTATGCAGTGGCCCAGTTTAGACACTGGGATGCCTGATAGCCCTCAAGAGCCAAGGGCCCAAGACTCAAGATGAACTGGGCAAAGGTCAGAGGTCGCGGTCTAGATTAGGGATGATGGAAGTCAGAGATGAAACAATGGTCCCTACAGGATGCTAATGAATGAGAAGGGTGGGCCCCAGAAGACACAGAGAAGAAAAGTGTGAGAAGATGGGGAACTCTAGGAGTGAGGGGGCAGCCCCTTTATATGAGTAGTCTAGAATGTAGAATCAGCACAAAGCCGACTCCTATGAGGAGAGTGGAGCTCACAGATGTCCTAACTTTTCCAGGCTGCTGTACTCCTGTCAGCTGGGTGGGGTGGCCAGTCCCACCCCCCCCACCCCACCCCCGCAGCCTTCAGGCGCTGGTCTCCTGGCTCTTGCCGTCTGGTGTTACAGCTCTTTCTGACTCCTGGGTCTTGGAGGTTCTCAGCACAGCACAAGGTCCCCAGGTCCAAAGGATGCGCTCTGCTCCCAGCTCTTCTGGATGGCAGTAAGGTTGCCCTCAACCTAAGGGGCTTAAAAGGCCTAGCAGGATGGTAAAGTGACCAATCCCCTAGGTAGGTCACAGGAAACTTCGCAAAGTAA